TCTCTCTCTCTCTCTCTCTGTGTGTGTGTGAGTGTGTGTGTGTGTGTGTGTGTGTGAGTGGGCAGCCTATCTACAGCTACTCCTTGCCTCCTTCTTACTGCTGCCTTTCAGCCACATCCCTGATCTTAAGGTAGGTAAGATCTAATACTTAGCCTTCTCGGATAAGGGCGGAAAGTCCCGGAGCTCCCGTGTGTAAGTTGCGCACGTTAAAGATCCTTTCATGGCGCTAGAATCGACGAGTAAGCTTCGGCCGCCGTCACCCGGGCAAAATTCAAAAATTTCTACCCAAACTGAAAATGTTTAATGTGTGTCCTTGGGTTCCTATGACATGACGCAAGTGTGAAAGCTGTAAAACGATACCTAAATATTTCTAAAAATTAAAAAATCTACCAATTTTATCTTTCTTTGTGGCCGACATCTCCATTCGTGGATTGGTAAAAAAATGACTCCTTTTGTCTCATGTGCTTTTGTCCTATTGGAAACGGACGTTGAATCCGGAGGCCTCTTGACCCCTTTTTTTTAAGCCACACTGGTCTAAACCGGCCTTCCTGTCATCAGAGACCTAGCTACGTAAAAGAGACAGTACAGCTTGTGGCGCTGTCTGTGACAACCAGTGCTGCACTCAGTGTAAGCGAAGAGAGCTGTTCTATTTATAGACTGGGTCGGTACACATTCTCGCGTCAGGCCTGTCATTGTTCTTATGTGGGTGAAGGAAACCAAGTTGTTACTAGTAGAGCTGGAGTCTGCTCGATTAATCGAAGGCTTGCGAGCAGCGGACGGCTTGCGCTAGAGGCTTGCGAGCAGGTTTGTGCTTTGCTTTGCCTCCCGCTCGCTACCGAGGGGGGGGGCGGGGGGGGGACTTCCGGTGAGTTTTGACTTCCGGACAGTTTTGCTGTACTGTGTCGTGACGTCGCAAACTCTCGTAGCTATGGGGCTCAGTACATATTGCAGAAGATTCTGGTTATTTTGCGTTGAGAGGCTTGCACCAAAAGTGCAAGATTGTTTTGTTTTTTCATTAGAGGGCTGTACAAATTAAAAAGCTCTATTCAACAATGCATTTAAAAATTAATAATGGATCGGCTATTCTTACGATGCAAAGGCCCGATTGTTTTTAATGTGCACAGGCTAAGCGCTTGGTCGTCCCACGCAAAAGACCTCAGTTCGATTCCCGTATGGGAAGAAATTTTTCTGAGAACCTCCGAATTTGTTTTTCTAGCTGTCAATGGGATACGTAGCATGCGTCTTATGAACCACAATTTCCATTCTACTTATTAGGAGCGGGCACGAGCTGAGAATAGTACCCTTTTCTCTCGAGAAATGCCCTTCCCGTCACTTCCCGGCCCCTAAACTACTGCCTGGTACCAAGAAGTGATACCGCTCGATGGCTTGACATAACGAGTAACGAGAGTGAGAGAGTGAGAGAGTGAGAGAGTGAGAGAGTGAGGTGAGAGAGTGAGAGAGTGAGGTGAGAGAGTGAGAGAGTGAGAGAGTGAGAGGTGTCGATGGAAAGAGCGGCACAGCCAGCGACAAATGACACGCAGACAGTGTCGCCCATCACCGAGCCGTCCTGTGTCTGAAACTGAAAGGGAGGGGAGAGGGTGGCGATACGAGGCGAGTGGGGAGTTGATCAGGGCCTTGGCCAAGGTCTCCCGACCTTCCTTCACTGCCTGCGCCTGCGCCTGCGCCTTCGCAACAGGGCTAGCCTAGTTTAGGCCACGGTCGGCCTTCTCGCTAAGCGAGCTACTCGTCAAACGGTGGGAGAAGAGAAATTGGTCATGAGACGAGAAAACTTCTCGGGACCGGTACCGGTCCCGGCGAGAGGTAGATCAGCTTATCGGTCTTCTCGCTCGGGAAGAAAAAGCGCTTCCCGCCCGTCTCTACTACTTATTACTACCAGAAACCTAGGTCTCTGTTAGATAATACCGCGCTTCCTCACACTCAGCTGATCAACGGCGGGAAGTTAAAAATATCTTCGGCTCTCTACGTCTTGCACCAAAACAAGCTCCGCCTCTCCCTTCCTCCACGGTTCATAGTTCACACTGCGAGCGGTCTTGCTGCTCGCTGCTGCAGCAAATCAACTTAGTGGCTTGCCAGGTTGCGAGCTGGTCCTGGTAGCCAAAGCAAATCATGGGAGCTGAGAGACTTGCACGGCTTCGAGCAAGTCACTTTTCACAAAGCAAGACAATGGGATGCAAAGCAAAAATTGGACTTGCTGTGCTGCGAGCGAGATTTGAGACTGAACGGCCGTCCGCTGCTCGCACGCCTTCGATTTATCGAGCAGACCCCAGCTCTACGCCTTGCAGTGACACTGTGAGCAGGATCTCTCTCTCTCTCTCTCTCTCTCTCTCTCTTTCTGACTTAAGTGGCTGCGCAGATTGCAAGCAGGGTGGGGAGGAAGAGGGGGTCTAACACGAATGGCTTCGCGGATTGCTCGTTGGTGTGGACTTGAAGCTTTCGTTGTTGGAAGTTCTGATGGCCGAAGGGACAGGGCGTCTGTATTTGAGGCCAAACCATTATTTTATGAGCGTGGGTACGAATCCTGGTCCTGGAATTTTTTATTTTTTTTAATCCTCTTCTCGACTGACCAACAAATTTTTCCCATAATTATAACTTGTTGCTTTGTAGTTTTTTTTATGTGGTGATGAAGCATTCACATTCTGGTTTTGTCCCCAAGAGGAGCTCTTACAAAATAGGCCTTAGTGTAGCCTATAATTTTCCTTTTACCAATTTAGGCCTGGTTAAAGTTCAATAGTGGCTTTCCTTGGTCTGTGAGTCTATTTTTTTTAAGGGAGCTATTCAGAACGCAGCGTTGCAAATAGCGCCTACCATGTTTGTTTGAGTTTACTGCCCCAGATCCTTTTGCCACGGGATTGGTCAGATTCGTGATCTGGCCCAAGCTGTACTGTCTCGTTTACGTTGCTAGGTCTCTGCTGTCATACCGGCTTTTACCGGCTTTTACCGGCTTTTATCGGCTTTTATCGGCTTTTACCGGCTTTCCCGCTTTTGGGCCATACCGGCTTTCCCTTTTACCGGCTTTTAACGGCTTTCCCGCTGTAGAGCCTTGCCGGTTTTTACAGGCCTGATACAATGCGTAGTGCCGACTTAGAAATGAAAATATTCCACCCTAAATTTAGATATGTGCTGAAGTCCTAAGTCTTTGTAAGTGGAATTTTATTCAACTAAGTCGTTTAGATCAAAAACAAAAGCAATATCTATGCTACACCCCCCC